GTGACGTGGGTTGGAATCTCAGAGGAGACATAAGTTCCTTCAAGGCAGCTGCAGATACGCCTACCTTACTGACTGATTGGTTAGTGCCAACTAGCATGAAACCTAGGTGGTCAAAGGCTTCCTGTAGCCTTCAACCAGTGGTTGAATAGTATACGAGCTAGCTTGCCTTGTAACCGGAAGGTCCCGGGTTCGAACCCTGGCAGTGGGTGTGTACTGCCGATGATTCCCAAACTAGGTTGATGAAACAGTTGTCCAGTACTCCCTGACTGGTTTTCAATGGTTCTCTAACTGATATCAATCCGTGGCCAAACTCGTATATGTATCGTTTTGAAATAGGTAGAGGCATGCTCTGATCACAGTCACATTGTGTGTGTATGCCTTTTTCCTCCATGTTTCTCAGTGATGGTCATTGTTTATTGTCTCTCTCGTAAAGGTAAATAATTTTTATCTCAATCGACGTGTTTTTTTCCTTCTTGAAATGCATGAATTTTTAATTATTTAACGCTCAACCCCTACCCCACCCAGCATAACTGCTTTGTCTAACCACTGGATCGTTGATAACTGACATTTTTTCGGTTATTGTTTTTCTATTGTTTAATTTATATTCAGTTTTAGGATGTACACCCACACACCCCCACCCCCTCACACACACACACACAAACACATCGAAAGAGATTGAAAGACAAGCTTCTCTTTTTGTTTTCAACTTTTTAACGTTTTTTTTTGGTTTTGTTTAGTTAGTTGAAAGCTGAATAGAAACTAGCTTGTCAAACTATTATTATTATTATTTTCGTGAACAGATTTCTGGAATTAGATTAATTAAATTAGTTTGAAATATTATTTTGGTGAACATTTATCCCCCCTCTCTGTGTGTATGTGTATGTGTGTGTGGTAGGGTATTTCCCCTCCCCGAAAGGAAGAATGACTTGTATTCCTCTAGAAGGGAGACGAGTTGTCGACACCCCAGTATCACAATTAAATTTAGGCTATGGTATGCTTTATTGATAATGTTATAACGGTAGAAGACAAGAGACTTGGTAGAGGAATGTTTATTTGTGGATGGTCTATCAGCTAGCTTGCCTTGTAACCAAAAGGTCCTGGATTCGAACTGTAGTATTAGATTATTATTATTCCCTTGCGTTCCGAGTGGAATATAGAGGGCTTCAACAACACATATCCCCATTTTGTTCTGTTTTCTGCCGTCCTCTTCAGTTGGGTCCACGATTGACCAAACTCTCTCATCTCTTCCTTATACGATCTCCTCGATGTCACCCTCGCACCGACGACCCACTCGTCGCCAGCAATGGTATGCACGCGCGATGTCACTTGACGGTCTCCTCAACGTATGCCCTATCAATCCATCTCCATTTTCTCCTACATATTTGTTGAGCGACCGGCTCTTGGTTGTTGGTATTAGATGGTTGGAGGCAATTTACCACAGGAAGCCTTGGACCTAGGTTTCGTGCTAGTTGGCACTCACTAGCAAGGCGTATCTGCAACCTTGAAGGAACTCATGTCCCTTCTGAGATTCGAACCCGCATCACCCAGTGCTGCAGTCAGAGACGTTACCAGTGAGCTATTCAGGCTCGTGACTGACCTCCTGTAGGACTGTATTGGATATTTTTGATTGAACACTATTCAGTAATTAGTGTAATGTGTCTAGTCCTATCTTCGGTGCAGACTGAATTGGTTGGTTCGTTCATTACCAGAGTTTCTTGTTACTTATTCTTTCTAGCCATTTGATCTTCAGCATGGAGCCAGCGAAGGTGGAAGCTGTTGATGAAAGTCTGCACTGGCCTGTTGGAAATCCTTTTCGTGACTGGCACGCAGTGCAAATTTCTGACCCATATAGGAGGAGTGACTGACTGGCTTCACATTAGTGTTGAAAATGCGAATCTTGTTCCTTATGCTAAGTGTGGAAGTTTTTCAAACTGGTTTCAGGTTGATGAAGGCGTATCTTGCCTTTCCGATTCTGACTGACTTTGACATCTTCATCGGTTCCGAGTGCCTGTATTTGAGACGATGCTTCCCAAATAAGTGTAGGAGGCAACTTCTGTTAAATCTCCTTCGTTGATGGTGATTGGTTGTGGTTACTGTTGATTGGTTATTTTCATCACCTCCATCTTCTCTGTGTTCACCTGGAGTCCTGTTTTCGCTGCCTCTTCAGCCAGTTTATTGGTTTTCGCTTTGGTTGCTACTGGTGACATCATGATAGCCACTCTTTTCCTCAGTGTGTTCGTGGTTGTCGTCTGGGTGACCAGACTGGAGTAGATTATTGACTCTCTCGTTGACAGTGTTGTCAATCCACATCCATTCCATCTGCTTTCGCAGATACCCAGTACTTCTAAGCCATATCTTCGCATTTCTTTAGCTACCTGGGCAGCCTTCCTGGCCAGTCTCGTACATTGTACGGACATTCCACGTGCCCATTCTTACTCTTGCTTTCATCGAGAGAAGACACATGGTCTGGCTGACTGGCTTCCCGAAGGCTTTCACCAGCCAGCCCGCTGTGTCATTTCGCCTCTCTGGTTCGAGAGAAAAATAAGATTGTTGTTATTTGATTTTTTTGTATTTTTAATGTATTTTCTATTGGATGAGGTTTCTCTAGCGGTTTGAAAGATTTAGTGGTGTGGGGTTGCTAGCCTGGGCTTCGAACCGGCTAGAAAACTAGCGACCTAGTTAACTAGGTGAGGCGAACTGTAGTGGTTGATGCTTACTGCCCCGATGACTTCCAAACTAGGATGATGATGATGATGAAACAGATTTCCAGTGTACTTCAGCACTGGTTTTCAATGATTCTCTCACTGAATACAATCCGTGGTCGGTCAAACTTGTAATAAATAAATCAATAAATAATAGGATGTCATCATGAGCTGACATCGGATGGTTAGAGAACCATTGGAAAACCTGCGAGTACTGGACAGCTGTTTCGTCCTAGTTTGAGACTCTTCGACAGTACGCACCCACCGACAAGATTCGAACCCAGGACCTTCTGGTTATAAGACAAGCTAGCTCGTAGACCATTAAGCCACTGGAACGCGATCCAATGGCCAGCCCATGAATTCTAACTTCTGCCAATTCACGACATAGCGCGACCACTAGCCAATGTCTTCGGCGAGTATAATAATAAAAATCTCTCCTTTTTGACGTATAAATTGTATCTATCATATTTGCATCGATCGCAAAAGAGTTTTAAAGGCTAGACTAGTAGATTCATTTGAATTAGTGAAATGACTAAAAACGGCTGGACTTATCCGGCATGTTGGTTGAAATTTCACTCCGCAAATTTTTTTTGTCAATAAATTTTAATAAAATTTTGTTATATGTTTTCTGGATTGATAGGAATTCTCATTTCCTGGCTAGTTATGTTGGTGTTCGCGTCATTTAATCTGACTGCGACACACTTAGCATATTGGTTGTAATGATTAGTGTTTCATGCTGAAAGCGTCAAAACATATCTACAATGAAGAAGGTGGGGTAGTTGGGGGGTAATGTCATCTACACAAATAGTTTATTTCTTGTAGAAGCTGCAGCTTTCGACATAGTGTCATTCAATGAAGACTACGTCAAAATGTGGCTATTTTCGTGTGAAGAACAGTACTATTTTACAAAAGAATGCTATCAGTACATGGGAATCACCTATAAATGCCAACAGAACGTAAAACCAATGTGTAAACGAACGGCTACGGAACTGCAATCCAACATAACCGGCTAACATGGACGAAAATGACCTTTGAGCGTCTCACTCCATCAATGACCTTGAGCATGCGGGATAATTTCAGCCCTAAAAACCACTATAATAGAGGAAGAGGAAATATAATAGTCAGCTTTGACGTAAACAGTCTCTATACTAAATTTAAAAAAACCCATTCAAATGGCCATGAATGCACTGAAAACGAGACTAAGCGAAGATATTTAAAACAATTAGTTCCCTTTATGAATTTAGACAAAGCAGTAATAAGAAGACGTAATTTGTCTGAATCGTGTATTGTGTATTTGCGCACAACACATTTCGAAAAATCATATCACACATGGACTTGTCATAAGAAGAGAGTTAAGAGGTGAGAAAATAAATTTAGGACATATTGAAGGTCAGAATAACAATGAAGATCAATCACTGAACCAAATAACAGAGGTAATAATTAGTACATCTACCCTGACTGGTATCAAAACAAAGTTTACCAAGGAAGGAAGGAAGGTTTAGTTAGTGTGATGACGAATTGTTGAACGCTTTGATCACATAAAAATGTGGTTTAAACTTTCTAATTGCCAGCTAGGGCTTCCACAAACTTTAGGATACGCCCCCCTACAAACATCAATTTTATGTCCTGTCTCCTCTGTAATATGTTTCGCAATAGAGGAGCTAGGTCGACGTCAGTTCTCATCATTCATTAATGGGCTCTAGGGATTCTGTTTGTTTCTGGAGCAACTAGGGGATATGCTGTGAAGCCAGTCCTTACTGGCAGAGGTCTATGAATCCTCCCTTCTATTTATGTGTGTGTGTGTTCACACGTACATTCAAATTGGTAAATACATCAGTGGGATGTGACATCATTTTCTGCATGTTCAAAGGGCTTAGATGGATGGATATATTGGCTTCACATTCTCAATTATTATTATTACGATATTAGCTGCATAAAAAGTCTTTTTAACAGCAGCCTTCAATCTTTGTCTAGTTATCATAGTTCGAACCCAGGACCTTCCGGTTCCCGGTAAGGTAAGCTCGTAGACCGGAAGGTCCTGGGTTCGAACCCTGTCGGTGGGTGTACACTGCTGAAGAATCCTAGACTAGGATGGAACAGCTGTCCAGTAGTACTCCAGTGCAGGTTTTCCAATGGTTCTCTAACCGACGTCAGTTCATGATGAAATCCTGTAATCAATCAATCACTCAGTCAATCGATCAGTCGATCGAATCCTTAGAAACCAACACTTGAATATCACTATAATATGTTTACATGCTTTATTTACTTTATTTTTATCTTAATTTTTTTGTAATGTAGGAAGAATCAAATCTCTCGCCGTCAGCTGATAATTCAAAAGTTATTCGTGAAGATCTTTTACCTATTAGTGAGGACGCACCAGCCGGTACCGCTACTTCTGATGCTGCCGCTGCTTCTGCTACTACCGATACTACTATTATCATTTCAGCTAATGCTACTACTACTACTACAGTTACTGATACTGGTGATCATAAAAAAGATCAAGATGAATCACACAGTCCTTCATCATCGACTTCATCATCTACAGCCGCTGGATCACCATCACTGCCTAATACTGATGTGACTACACCACCACCGCCTGCAGCTGCAATATTACTACGTAAACGTTTAGGTGTATCTGGTGAATCGATGAAATGTGCTCAAGAATTAGTTTATCATGATAAAGATGCACAGTAAGTTGAAAATATTATTATTACTATTATTTATACTTTAATATCATTATGTAGTGTGCGTCAGTTGAATGCTCCCTGACCAATACACATGTTGTTTGCAATTAATAGTGTTCTCTGAGCTGGTTGGTTTAGTTGCGGAGCTTTCGTCGTCCTTCTGGACAGCATCTTCAGCGCAATTTTTAGCATAAAGTAGTAGTAGTGTAACAACAGAAGACAAGGGCCAGGCAACAGATCGTTTATTAAGGAAATCAAAGCATATTTATATATTCTCATGTACATTATTATAGATTATTTAAGCAAACAAACACAGTCTTCTGATTGGTTGTTTCTCACTTCAAGTTAATCTTTCATCTCTTTGTGACTGTTTCGTGAATGTCAGATCATCTATATGTTAACTGTATCCGCCTACGCAAAGTCTGCTGTGGTCGGTTTTTGAATCAGTCTCGTTCATATTTTCTCACGACCAATCTTGAGAACGTAAACATTGACTTCGATTACTGTCTACCAATTTGGCTAGTAGACAGCTCTCACCACAGTAGTAGTAGTAGTAGTCTAGGTTTCGACTACCGACCAATGCACTACTTAACCTCGCTTATAACCAATAATAAGCCCATTAAACATGGAAGATTGAGTCTGTCTAGCAACTCCATTCCTGTAAAAACAATTACACTGCTACTATTCAAGCCTCGAAGCTTAGATCTAAAGCCCAACGTTCCATTCGGAAGGCAAAGGAATGGAGAATATCATTGTGTGATAATAAGTGGTGGCAAATAAGTGGTCAGGTGGTATTTTGTTCTCAAGCCAATTTTCATTCCCCCACCCCACCCCCACCTGGCTGTTAACTGATTTGACCAAAAATGTTCTTGTCTCTGTCTGTTTTCAACACAGAACTTTGCACACATATGCGGCAGTTCAAGTCGCCACACTCCCTCCTTGCAGCACACAAAGAAAGAGAAGAAAGTTAAAGGAAATGCAAAATAGAGACAGTAGACAGGGATATGAGACAAAAAGAATAGTAATAACGAAGAACAATATAGTTGTATTGGGTATTATAAGTCACAAGGAGTGGATGCATCTGCACCAGCCATCATTGAGAACGATTTCGAGCCAGCCATATCACCGACTGTCTCCAGCCACCACCATTGGTTTTTACCGTCATCCCGAGGACCTCAACCAGCCAACCAGTCAAGGAATCTACACCTCCCTACGTGGCTAGCTTAAGCTAACCGTTGTGGATTCTTTTCATTGACCTGATGATGAAATCGTGTAACCAATCAAAACCAAATCTCTACAAACCAATACTTGAAATGGCAAAGTTCTACAATAGAGTCCCAAGGGATGCGAACGCACGAGTGACCTTGAGCCGACCATTCAGGAAAAATGACGATTTTTGCATAAAATTTTACGTATATTTACATAAAAAAGCATAGAAAAACATTAAACAGGATATTTTTCTCTAATATGAGATAAAAAATCTCCCAATTTTGTAGAGGGGTTTCAGTTTTTAAATTGAACCAATTTCTATACATATATTCATCATCTAGGTGACTGAAAACAACTTCGTTTTGAGATCCGTTGATCGCTCTGATTCTATTTTTCAGTCTTCCCCAGAAGCCTTCAATTGAATTGGTATGAGTACTGGTCCTGGGGTCGACGAAGTCATCGGAATGGTTGACTCGATGATGTATGTAACCCAGTTGCGATAATCGGTTGTATCCTGCCCATTCATCTGTGTGAATGGTGGTGCCTGGTAAGACGAGACGCTGAATAATAGGGAGGAGTGTATCAGCACTCCTATCTGGAATCAGCTCGATAAACCCTTTGCGAATCTGGGTGTCATAAATTCCTAAAACCCAAACGTTATTCGCTCTGGCACGCCCCCGATTGTACTTCTTCTTGATAAGAACGGTTTCATCAAAGACAGTTTCGACTTTTCAAAGAAAGTTCCTAGAAGACAATTAATTCAGAGTGTCACTTACCAGTACGCACACTTATTCGCTTCCTACACTGTGTACATCTGAATACATATCCATCAGTCACCTGGGTATACGACTGGAGGATCATGGAAGCACCACAACCGCATATCCGAGTACGTCCTATCAATCCATTATCTAGGCAGTACTGGAAAACGTGATCTGGATGGAATTTGCATCTGAGCTCATGAACAGGGTTCATTTTAGCGCTAGAATAATGGTAGGCTTCCTCAACCAATGACTAGCATGCGTTCAGGGTCATTGGAACATTTACAATCCTGGGACTCTATTCTTGTACTTCGCCCTTGAAATAAGGATTAGTTGAGGTTTATGCTAAAGTTTATGGCACCAGTATTTCATTGTGATGCAGGTACTATATATCCTATTGTGTTTGATATTGAATTGGAAAAAAATTTGCCTTGCTTAATTTGCGTTTCACCTGACCACTTTAAGTGTGTGATTCAAAATCAACTATAGTGGCAGCACACAGATATGCCTTCCTTCATACCTTTACCTTAATTGTATCCCTTATAATATCTTACCTTGTTGCATATTTCTGCATCTAGTATTCTCTTAACGTGGCAGGTAGGTAGGTAGGTCGGTAGATGTGAGATATGTATGTGTACAGTATCACGCCCTGTTCTATGCTGTTGCCGTTGTTGATGGTGGTTATATTGTCTGTCTATCTATCTATCTATCTATTCCATCAGTAGTGATGTCCACTTCAAATCATTGTTCACTCTCCCTCTCTACGCACACACATACACACACACGCGTAAACATAAGTACGAACATCGATACAGACAGAGCATTTTGTCTTCTTTCAAAATCAGTATAAAAGTACATTTTGTTATCACCATTGTGTCTAATATCACTATTGTTGTTACTAGCCTAAACAAACAATGAATACCCTAGAATACTTTCTTTGTTCACAACAGATGAATATATATGACATGTTTTTGCTCTGTATGATTCATTTTTCATTCTTTTGTGTTTCGGCGGCGGGGGGTGGGTGAAGGCGGGAACATGGGGCTTCAAGCTTTAAAGTTTCATTGTGGTGGTGGTGATGCTGTTTATTTTTTTACCGAGTAGAATTGCTAACCCCCCTCATCACACTTGACTTATCTATCGATTAGTAAATGAAGTAAGGTTAAATAAATAGTACCTTTATCAACAACAACTGTCTTCGCTCTATACTCAAGATCAGATTGCCGCCGGAAAGAATCACCAACAAGAAACTATGGGAACAAACAAAACAAGAACCAGTCGACCAACAAATATGCAGGAGAAAGTGGAGATGGATTGGGCACTCGCTGAGGAGGCCGCTACGGGTGACATCGCGCGTCAGGCCAGTGCTCGAGTGGAACCCGAAAGGTAAGCGGCGAGTAGTGGGACGTCCAAGGGTGACATGGAGGAGATCATGTGAAGAGGAGTTGAAACAGTATGGAATAACATGGATGCAGGTGAAAAGTACAGCAGAAGACAGAAACAAGTGGAGACGTGCAGTTGAAGCCCTATGTTCCACTAGGAACCCAAGGGAACAATAAATAAATAGTACCTTGGTCAGTAATTGAATCCGGACTGACTGACCACACATGCTTGATATATGAAGACGTGTTACCCCTACCATTGTATTATCGATGCATCAAAGTGTGTTGTGCTATATCCCACTTGGCTGACTTAGATCAACTGTTGTAATATTGTATTATTGAAAGATGTTTCAAATTGGAATAAAGTCGTTGTCGTCTTCAAGTCTCCCATTAATAACTAACTTTTGTATGCACACGCAAACGCAAACGCACATATTGATGAATGGCTTAGATGATGGAGAGGTTTGAGTATCACCACCTTTGTACAGTTGTGTAATGCGGATTTTTTTTCCGGACAATTTATCTCATTTTGCGACAGAAGGCCCGTTTTTGTACCGTCTCTAGCGTAGACGTGATATCTGGCTAGCTATCGACCAAAGGACGTGTGTACTGCTCAGGCTTAGTCATTTCGCTCCATCCTCCTTTATATGGCTTTGAGACCTGGCCATTGAAAGCGGAAGACATGAAAAGCTTGGCTAGCTTGCTAGCTAGCTAGCTGTCTTTGATCATAGGTGCCTGTCTGCGTTCTATCTCCCGTGTGCAGTGGTATAATAGGGTGAGCAATATTGAGGTTAGACTTCGGTCGAGGGAGTGCTAGGTAGGGAGGAGAAATCAATAGACTAGGCTGTGAAGTTACATCGATTGATATGGTTAGGACATGCGTTACATATGCCTGGCCATCGCCTTCCTCAACGGATAATGTTAGCTGACTGACATAGGATAGGTCAGGTTGGAAAAGAGTGAATGAAATCTTCTACAGTTAGTTTAAGCCACATAGGAAAGTGTAGACTTCATGCCTGGCTGGCTGGTTGGGGTCCTCGGGATTCTAAGAACCGATGGCGGCAACTGGACACAATTGGTGATATGGCTCAAAATCGTTCTCAATGGCTGGCGCAGATACATCCACTACTTGTGACTTACAATACCCAATGAAACTATATCGTTCTTCGATATTACTATCCTTTTCGCCTCATATCACCTCTGTTTACTGTCTCTATTTTGCATTTCTTTTTGCTCTCTTCTCTTGCTTTGTGTGGTACATGGAGTGTGGCGACTGGAAGTGCTGCTGCACATCTGTGGAAAGTTCTACGTTGAAACCAGTCAGTCAGGAGATTTACAGGTGTGAAAAACAACAAATTGACAGGTGAATCAGCGAGGATAGGATATCAAGGGAGGAAATGTAAGGGAGATGAAAATATATACACCAATTCCCATCATATTGTAGGAGGAATTTAAAGACAGTTATTGTTTCAAACTACATGCATGGGGCATGGATTAGGATGTGAAGGTGTGAGGCAAGCAGTCAAGATCGGGAAACCTGTAACACCTTCAGTATGTGAAACAAGATCCTGATTCTTAACACTAGTATTAAATTGATACTCTTTCATGGTTCATAGATTTGGCGCATGTCACCATACTTTCATCAGGAACTGCCTTCACTACATACTGGAGATTGATCAGATGACCGGTTAGAAAGGTTTAAGTAAGAAGAAATTCCGACAGGTGGTAGCTAACCATCTAGTAACCTGTTACCCAACAACATATATGCAGAAGGAAGCGAAAATGGATTGGATATCTACTGTAGAGACCATTTAGTAGCAGCATTACATGGACAGGAGATCCCCTCTGGTGGTGGAATGGAATGATAATGTTCACTCGGAACCGAAGGAATGAATATTTAATAATATTTCATCCTTTTTTCAACACAAATGTGAAGACAGTCAGTCAGTCAATTCTTCTATATGGGTGGTCAGAAACTTGCACTACACTTGATTCACGTAAAGGATTTCAAACGAGTTACAGACTTTTATCAATAGCTGCTCGCTTCGTTGGCTTGCCGGCCGGCCAGAAAGAATTAGCAACAAGAAACTCTGACGACTCACAAACCAATAGGCGAGAGCCGATTGCTCAACAAGGGTGCAGAAGAAAATGGAGGTGAATAGGGCACACGCCATTGACATCGCGCACTCAATGCAGACCATCGATCACTCGAGTGTGACCTGAATGGGAAACGAGCGATGAGTGGGTCGTCAGTATGAGGGTGACATGGAGCAATTGAACTGAAATGCTCACTCTCTCTGTTGACAGACACAGCGACTCCTCACAGTTAGTACGGACTCTTCAATAATGTTTAACGGTTAATATGATGCCGTCTGATAGATTTTGATTATCAAGTTTTGGTCTCGGCGAGGCCTTCTCCGTCCACTAGGGCCTTTGTGAGTCGGTGGCATAGCGGTTAGGACGCTCGCCGACCATGCACACGGTCCGGGGTTCGATCCTCGGCCGACACACTCCTTCACCTCGCTAAGCCAGAAATAATGCTGGTGAGAAGGAAAGGTTGGGCATGAGGCTAGCAACCCCATCCTGTAAAATAAACACTGCTACAGAAACTTCAAGCCGCTAGCTTGGAGCCCTATGTTCCACTGGGGAAAGTGAAGGATAAAAAAAGTTTTGGTTTGGAGGATTTCATCGTGTGCTCACACCAGTAAAAGAACCATTGGAAAATCATCACTCGAGTACTGGACAGCCAGTTGTTTCGTCTTAGTTTGGGACTCTTCATCAGTACTCTCACACCGGAGTTCGAACCTAGGTTCTTCCGGTTGCAAGGCGAGCTAACTCGTAGACCATTAAGCAACTAGGACGCGATCCAATGGCCCATGAGTTCCAACTTCTGCCAATTCACGTATGATATAGTGTGACCGCTAGCCAATGTCCTCACATCCTACCTGCTGCACCCTATTGGACATGACTTCCCAACAGAACCCCAGATAACTAGCTACCTGATTAGGGCAAGTCGCTAGTGAGCATCTCATTGATATTCAAGTGTTGGTTTGTAGGGATTTGATTGTTTACAGGATTTTCATCATGAGCTTAATGGTGTTCGAGCTAGCTCGCCCTGTAACCAGAAGGTCCTGGGTTCGAATCCCGGTGGGTGCGTACTGATGAAGAGTCCCAAACTAGTGGGACGAAACAGCTGTGCAGTACTCCCAGTTTTTCCAATGATTCTCTAACTAAATAGTCTTTTTTTATTTAACATAATGTACTCGAAACAGAGTTATATCTACTATAAAAGTTAATAAGATATTGTAGTAGGTCTACTCTAAAGTACACATTCGCTTTATATGTAAACTCTTTTTTTATTCTCTGAATTTATCGACTCTTCATAAACATTATTTTAATGATAATAGTATATATATATTTGTATATAAATCAATAGCCAGGTTAACTGGACATATAAATATATAATACGGTAGTGAAGTTTATATATTAGTTATCATTTACATACTGGTTATATTCTAAACGGCGTTCATACAAATCTATGCATGTCTGTCTGTCTATCTATCTATATACCTATCTATCTATCTAATAAAATACATTATTTGCCTATATAGCATAGATTAAGATTATCTGTCTGTATATCTACAGTTAATTTGTCTAAAATCTATTCATAATTTATATACAGTTATATACATATATGGATAAGGATGTATATTGGTGTATGTGTGTATGTGTGTGAGTGTGCGTTAGTTTGTTTGTTAGTGTGTCCCGTCAATTTGACCACATTAACTGTGTTTCTTTTTATAATTCATTCGTGGTGGATGTTGGTTGTTATTTTTATAATAGTGAACACACAGAACAGATTACTTACTTATTATTAAATGAAATGTGAAGAAAGATCTGTATATATGGAATATATATTAGGGTTATAAAAGGAAAAAAAGGTTACAATATATGTTAGTTAAAATAAAGGAGGGAGAGAGAGAGAAAGAGGAGAGAGTGAGAGGAGAGGAGAGGGTGAAAATCATGTTAAACAGAATAAATTAAATTACATGCACACAGATACGTCGTAAACAGATAACATGTGATACGCTATATGATATGATTTATGTAGGAGAGAATATTATGTATGTGTTGAGAGGTAGGTTAGCTGCATTGACTTGAAGTCTGTTTTAATAATTTTCCCTGAGAAAAGGAGGAAATGATTGTATGATGATAAAGTATAATGTTTTTCAAGTAATGGTTTTGTAGGGATTTAGTTTGATTGCATGGAGGATTTCATCATGAGCTGACATCAGTTAGAGAACCACTGGAAAACCAACTGGGAGTACTGGACAGCTGTTTCGTCAGCCTAGTTTGGGACTCTTCATCAGTACGCACCCACCGGGGTTTGAACCCGGGACTTTCTGGTTACAAGGCGAGCTCGTAGACCATCGAGGCAGTAACTTATTGAAGAAGACATAGGGAAATGATCGCGCTATGTCGTGAATTGGCATTGGCCATTGGATCGGGTTCCAGTGGCTGGCTTAATGGTCTACCACCTAGCTCACCTTGTAATCAGAAGGTCCCGGTTTCGAACCCTGTCGGTAGGTGTGTACTGACGAAGAGTCCCAAACTAGGCTGACGAAACAGCTGTCCAGTACTCCGTGCAGGTTTTCCAATGGTTCTCTACCTGATGTCAGCTCATGATGAAATCCTCCATGCAATCAAAGTATAGTGTGTTAATTATCACAAACTTTTTTTATTCCTTCACGTTCCCAGTGGTGGATCATGGGGGGGCTTCAAGCTAGAGGCTTGAAGTTTCTGTAGTAGCAGTGGTGGTGTTTATTTTCACAGGATGGGGTTGCTAGCCAGCCTCATGCCTAGCCAACCTTTCCTCTTTACCAGCTTTTTATTTATTATTGGCTTAGCGAGATAAAGTGGCCGGGGATCGAACCCCGGACCACGCGCAAGGTTGGCGAGCATCGGCTTCCATGTATCTCCACAACGCTGTATCATTTGCCTTCTCTGACATCAAATCTATCTCCCTTTTATTTGATGTTTTTATGATGAGATGAACGTCTGTTTATATACTACTGATAAGTCTTATCAGTAGCACTCGTTACAGTTCAACACTAATCCTCCTTCTGTGTTCCAGTTATTCCGAAAAGTAATCAACTTTCACGGTATGGGCAGACAGGAGGTGAATTCAGTTCCCAGGCTATAAGCCACACATTGATTGTGTGAAAACTGTTGGCACTACCCAATTGCCCCTACTAGGCTTGAGGTAGGTGAAGTGGCATTCAAAACCTGAAACCTACTGACAAAAAGTCGAGTGCTTAAGCCAGTGAGCCATATACCCCACACATTTTCATAAGTACAGAAAGTTAGTCATTATGAGTAAAAGTGCTTCTGTTGTATGTTATTATTATTATTATTGTTTTTGTTGTTTTCCCGTTTCTACCGTTTAGTTCACGTCGACAAATACGTGAAGCATTAAGAAGTAATGATTTAATCAAGAATTTAGATGCTGTTCAAATACAAGAAGTTGTTTCATGCATGTACGAACAAACAGTTGCAGCCAATTGTTACATTATTCGTGAAGGTGATGATGGTGGACATTTATATGTTGGTGCAGGTAAGCTTATAACTGGTTTGATTTGCCTTGGATAACTGATTAAAAAAATGCCCCCTTAAAGTTGTGTTTGTTTCTTTTCAAAAGAATGGCCAGCTCTTCATCATCAGGTTCTACAGTTATATATGCGTAATAATAATAATTATTATTGTTTCCTTTGATTCCTAGAGGAATATAAGGCTTCAGCCGCGCACGTCTCCATTGCGTTCGGTTCTCTGCCAACGTTTTCATCGCCTGGCTCCACGTCTGCCCACATGCTTTCATCTCCTCTTTACATGACTTCCTCCTCATGTCACCCTCTCAATGACGACCAACTGAATCGCCGCTTCCTATTCGGGTTCCACTCGAGCGATGGCCTGGCGTGTGACGTCACTCACTTGATGGTTTGTTTTCTCAGAGTATGGCCTCCAATCCACCTCCATTTCTTCCTGCCTATTTGTTGCACAATCGGTTCCTGCTGGGTTGGTTCGTTCATTGCCAGAGATTCCTGTTGCTGATCTTTTCTGGCCGGCCATCTGATCTTGAGCGAAGTATTGAGCGAAGACAGTTGTTGATGAAAGTCTGTAGTTTGTTCGAAGTGCCCTTCGTGACGCGGCGCCAAGTCTCTGATCCGCATAGTAGCACTGACTGACTTCACATTGGAGTTGAAAATCCGGATCTTATTTTCCATGCTGAATAGTGCTGTTGATCTCCACACAGACTTGAGATTAATGAAAGCTTGCCTAGCTTTCTTGATCCTCGCTTTGATATACATTATAGTGAATGAATTAGTGTTATTAACAAAATTAATGTTGTTTAAATAACATCGAATCAGTAATAATAAAATATCAGTGGATTACAGTTCGATAGCATCAACATGGCAATGAACTGAAAGTCAGAAAATTTAGGAAAGATAGTAATACAAATTCATGAATTTATAGTCTCTACTGATGGCCAGGGCAGTAGTAGTGGCTGAACTTGCTTCTTTTGCACACGAAGCATTGGTTGTTTCACGCGAATGGTGATAACCTCTGCTGTTTGGAGCATGTGGTACTTCGATGTTTTTGGTAATTTATTTGGTACCCTGTAGATGATGATAGAGAAGGATTCTTCAATGCTACCAGGCTTTGTGGCCGGCTGTTTTGGACCAGGTGGTCTAATATCGAACTGTTTATGATAGTTTTCACTACACCTTTACTTAGTCACACCACAGTGGTAGGTGTTCCCGAGCCAGCACGAAAAATCAATTCCCCAGAGCAACGACCAATAAAACTCGCTCCCCCACAAGTGCTGTTGAATTGGTAGGTACAGTTGGAAGTGGCTAGTCTAGATACTTCATCATTGAATCGATAAGTCACCATCGGTCGTGTAGAAAACATGACTTGTAGTTTACCAGCATTAAAAGTTCTTTGAACAGGTTTTCTTGTTAGGTGCGTCACCCTTGAATTCCAGTCACATACATAAAGGTTTCTTATTTACCATATGGAGAATAGTCTTTTTCCGCTTTCTTTGTCATGTGTTTCTTGATAAATTTGTCGGGATAGCTATTTTCAATCAAGGTATCATATACAATCCTTAGTTCATCTTCAACTACTCCCTTCTGAGTATATAGCTCTAACCGTATGTATGACTGAGGGTCTTTACTAAATTTCTTTTGTACTGGAGAGGAACGAAGCTGTGAAAATGTGTATCTGGTCCTGTCCGTGTGATTTTCTTATGCAAATTTCTCTCTATACTACCATCTGGTTTTCTTGTAAGAAGGACATCTACTAGGGCAATTCTATTTTTGGATTCCTCTTCACATGCAAATTTCATAGCAGAATGTACGATTGGGGACATTCAGTCGGGTCCCAGTGGCTGAAAGATTTACGAGTTCACCTTGCAACCGGTAGGTCCTGGGTGGGTGGGTACTGCTGAAGAGTCCCAAACTAAGCTGACGAAACAGCTGGCTGTCCAGTACTCTCAAGCTTTCAGCTAGTGATCAGTCATATAATAAAAAGAGAATTAAAGTTGGACATAAGGTTGAAGAGTAGATCACTGTGTGATAACCTCATGTAATTGTGGTTATTGTTTTAAGCGCTGTAAAACAACTCAAACTCACAGGCACACACACACACACACACACGCTGATGTACTCGTTTATTATTCACTCTGTGATCACTCACACATTCTAATATACTTATTTTGTATAAGTAAACATTAAAGTGAGGAGTGTTCAATTCACCTTTTGACCTTTTATTTATTTTTATTTTTTTTTACTTTATATCATCATTTACTTTATCTATCATTAATTATTATTTGTCATTCGACCTGTTTTCTTTTTTTCCTTCACCTTACAAAATGGTGTGGTGTGTGTATTAATTCAGTGTTGTACTTATCTCTCACCAGTTTATGTAAATGTGAACCAGTGTAAATATTTTATTTGCATACATAGTCCCTCTGTGTGTGTGTGTGTGTGTGTGTGAGTGTTTGTGTGACCTCATTTCCATAGGAGGATATTAATTAGTACATGTTTTGTGTTTAACGTTTGTTTGGTTTGTTTCTGGTTGATGGTGAGTGAACGAGTGAGCGAGTGGTAGGTTGTACAAATGAGTGAGTAGGCAAATAGGCCGAAATAGCAGAGGCAGAGAGAGAGGCCCTATTTCGTTTTCTCACCTCACTCATACGAATGATGATTTTATCATCAGGTAGACGGTGTTGTGGTGTTCTGTGAGTCATTTGTAGTTGACTCGGAGGTTGGTTGTCTTTAATGAGTTTCATTAGAGCGGCACCACATGAATGATCGTCTTCAAGACGAAAGAAGATTTCGGTCGGGTTCAGTTGTAATATTATATGGAATACACACGCACACGAACATGCAGACACACAATCTGAAGATAGAGTTCCGAGGGTTCTCCTCTTAGTTTTCTTTCTATTTGAGTCTGGTTAGTTTTCGTTATCAATAATGATTAACTCATCGTATTCTGTACGTTTTCATGAAGAATCAGAGATGTGTTCTTATCATAATTTGTGTAGGATCTGTCTATTCATGATCATGATGTTAAATGGTGTGAGTATATTCCGACTTCTTCACTTTGCTCATTAAAACTAGTCTCACTATCCTCTTCACAGAGTAAAAGGACAAAGACAATCTGTTGTAGGGGAGAAATCAATACAGTGATTAACACTCGAGAGAGAGGGAGAAAGTCAGAGAGGTGCAATGGACACTCATTTTGTCGTAGACTGTGGCTTCTTATCGGGAAACACCTACTCCACTTCGTGGGGTGATTTCTGGCGGTTGTTGGTGTTGTTGTGAATGGAGTGAAATGGGAATTGTATGTATTGAGTCATTACAAATGATGAGTAGATAGAGACGGTTGGATAAATGTGGAACAGCAGCAATCTTCGTATGTTTGGCATGCGATTCGCTCCTGTAAAATGTAAGATGCTGCTACAGGACTGGATTACGTCAACTCCTAGTTTAGTGATAGGGAGTGAAGTGATAGAGCATGTTGACCACTTCATCTATTTGGGAAGTTGTATCAGCACCAACGGATTGATTGGTGACGAAATCTCAGCACGGATGCAAAAAGCTCGGGCTGCTTTCGCTAACTTACACCATCTCTGGCGTAGGCGTGACATCCGGCTATCAACCAGGGGACGTGTGTACTGCTCAGCAGTTCGTAGAGTGTTGGGCAAAGAGGGAAAACCAATCGAAGAGGCTATAAAGTTACATAGATTGAGATGGCTAGGTGACGTGCTGCGCATGCCTAACCATCGCCTCCCCCGACGGGCATTACTAGCTGATATAGGTGCAGGTTGGAGGAAAAGAGTAAGTGGTGGCCAAACAAAAACATGGCATCAATCCATGAAATCCTTGACAGTTAAACTCAGTCAGGTAGGGAGATGCAGACTTCCGGGTTGGGGCCCTCGGGACTCTAAGAATCAATGAAGGCTGGAGACAATAGGTGACATGGCTCAAAGTCGTTGTCAATGGCTTACGCAGATGTATTCAGTCTCTGTAATCTTTCATATTCCTTTCTAACATTACTCATTCTGTTCCACTCTTATACTTGTCAAAACTCTACTGATTCTCTTCACTCATCTTCTTGTCTACCTTTGTGTGCTATTTGGAACGTGGCAACTGGAACTGCTGCACTTCGGTGCCAAGTTCTATGTTGAATCCAGATAGACAAATGTGGAACACACACACAGAGCATTAAAGATGGGGACGAACTGCATCATCTGGAACTATGAGGGTCAGATTACTGTGTAAGAAGGAGGTAGACAAATCGACATATAAGCAAAGAAAGATGAGTTGAACAGAGAGATACAGGATACATTTGAGCATGATGAACATAAAGACGGAGATGATGTCGAGATATCTAACCAACAACAATAACTGCAGGCATCAATCACTATGAATGGGGGGGGGAATTCGTCTCTTTCACTTCCATGTCTGGGCAGTATTCTTTCAACTACAGGTTGCGACATGGATGAGGATATCGAAGCCTGCCAAGATACGGAAAATAAGACAGACCTTCATTAACCTGCATTGAGTGCGGAAATTCCTTGCACTCAGCTGAAGGAACAAGATTTAGATTTTCAACACTGCTATCAAGTCAGTGCTTCTGCCATGGTTCAGAGATAACGGGCGTATTACGAAGAGTGTTTCCAACATGGCAGTGCAGACTTTCATCAACAGCCAACTCCACTGGAACTTAGGGAGATAATACTAATAATGATATAACGAATGTTTTAATACAATTTGAACTTTGAGTCAGATAGAATCGTGTAAAATGATTCCAGTATGGTTCAGATTATCAAAACAAGATTTTTTTCACAAAGTTTCAGTGTTACTCAGTTGTGGCAGTAGCTTCAGATGTGCGTCGGTGGCACAGTGGTTAGGACTCTCGCCGACCATGCACATAGTCTGGCGTTCGATCCCCTGCCAATGCACACCTGATATCAATGGTCGGTCAGCAAAATTGGGCTACTGATGTCACATGCTGAAAATTCCATACTTGTACTAAAAATACGTTGTGGAATCAAGCTATAATCAAAAAAAGAAAATTAGTCTCAACGTGGCTGTATGAAATCCTCATAATGGTTTGGAAACTTTGCGAAGATGGATTCATGAAAATCCTTGTGATGTTTGAGACTCATCAGAGGAACGAAACATTACTTCTTCCAAAAAGGAAACTTTACATGAACCTGGATTTCAAGGGAAACTTAGCCTGCAATATTCTTAAGAGAAGAATTTCAGCATCTTTGAGGAGAACATTCTTCACAGCGACGCTAAGAATAGTGTTCTCCAGTTGTCCATTGGTTCGCAGAAGCCTTAAGGACAACATCTCGTATCTGACCACTTTTATGCGCATATATCAGTTCACCTGGTCGTTCGAGGCGTATTCTGTCCAAAAGGATTCGAGAACACTATTCCACAACATGGCTGCAAAATGGTAATAGTGGCTGTATAAGGAGTGCGATAATTGAACACCTGGTCAACACTGGTCATTCAATCTGAACAAATACCTCCTTCAAAGTATTCTACCAAATCAAGAACAACCTATCAAAGGCAATACGCTTTCGTCTCCTTTGTATTGCTGAAGCCTTATTCATCCAGTTGAACAAACCAGAGTTATGTGCACAAAAGAAAGTCAGTCAACCACTTCTACTTATCATGGCAACAACCGTCTTGATTTCTACTCACTTGATGTTTGTGTGCCTGCTTTTCCAACTCCTTATAGCTTTTGTATTTCTTTACAACTCTTACATAAATTCCATATTTTCCTTCGTTTCTATGTATATCCTGATTACAACTCATTCATCCTTAAATTATTCATTTTATTACGTAACTACAATACACCAACTCAACTTCTCTTATGCATTGACTCACACTGACAACAAGTCATCACTACTAGCCTCTTACTAATCTTTACCGCTCCCTCTAGTTACAACTTGATTATTCATCACATTGTTTGAAATATTTTGATGTCGAAAACAACAACCCTAAGTAATTTTTAATCTTGTCTAACAAAGCTAATGTACACGCACACACACACACATACAAAAATAATAATAATAATAATTTTTTTTCCCCTTTGGTTCCTAGTGGAACGTAGGGTTTCAACTGCACGTTTCCACTTGCTTCTGTCTTCTGCTGTACTTTTCACTTGCATCCATGTTAGTCCATACTGTTTCACCTCCTCTTCACACGATCCCCTCCATGTCACCCTCGCACTGACGACCCACTCGCCGCTTCCCTTTCGGCTTCCACTTGAGCACTGGCCTGACGCGCGATGTCACCCAGCGGCCTCCTCACCGAGTGTCCAATCCATCTCCACTTTCTCCTGCATATTTGTTGGTCGACTGGTTCTTGTTTTGTTTGTTCCCATAGTTTCTTGTTGGTTCTTGTTCTTTCCGGCGGCCATCTGATCTTGAGTATAGAACGAAGACAGTTGTTGATAAAGGTATGCAACAGGCTGTTGGAAATATTCTTTGTGACCCACCGAGTTTCTGATCCGTATAGAAGAACTGACTGACTTGACGTTTGTATTGAAAATCTGGATTTTGTTGTTGATGCAGGCTGAGTGACGAAGATTTCCAGATTGGTTTCAGGTTGATGAATGTGTTTCTCGCCTTTCCGATTCTCGATTTGACATCCTCGTCCGTTCCTCCAGTAATTGAGACAGTGCTCCCTAGATAAGTGAATGAAGTAACCTCTTTCAAATCCCTCCCGTTGATGGTGATTGGCACTGGATGTTGCTGCTGTTGTTGTTGTTGTTGGTTGGTTATTTTCGTAACCTCCGTCTTGTCTATGTTCACCTGCAGTCCCGTCTTTGCTGCTTCTTCGACCAGTTTGTCGGTTTTCGCTTGTAAGTCTTCGATTTTGTGTGACATCAAACATAAATCATCCACGGGCGAAATCCAGGTCTTCTAGGTTCTTCACGTCGGTCCAGGATACCCCTGTCTTCTCGTTTCCCACTGTCTGACGCATAATCCAGTTCACCACAATTAGGAATAACATTGGTGATAATAAGCACCCTTGTCTGACTCCTGTGTTTACTCCAAACGTCTCGCTGAGTTTCCCGTTGTGGATGACTTGACATGTGCCGTTGTCATACAACTGTTGAATAAGGTTGATGAATATTTAGAGTACACCGTAGTACTCGAGTAGTTTCCAAATTACTTCGCGGTCAACGCTGTCGAAACTCTTCACTGAACACCACGTGTTTTGTTTTTTCATTAATGTCTGAATGGGGATTATTCATGAATTGGAAGCAGTCAGAAACTGTTCGAACAGGTTCTCACATGTCAGTACATGCATAAATCATGACTTTATGACCTTCCCTTTTATGGATAGGTTTTTAGTTAACGGACCATTGTAAAATACTTTTTTTGTAGGTCTGAGTACCCATCGTCTGTCTATGTTCCTGTATTAATAATATAAAACAGTATTTAGTGAGAATTTGATTTGTTTCATACTCTAGAAAGCCAAATTATGTCTTCAAAATGATGTAACGCCAGTTCCTTATGCAATTGTTAAGTCAGCCTGTCGAGAGGTTGATGTTCTGACTCTATGGCAGTAAAAAAAACGGTGTCTAAGACAAAGGCAGGAATTGGAGGAGTTTCAGTAAACTATGATAGCTTCATTGTATTTCGCGTTATATTTACACCAGTGATGAAGATTCCTGGTCAACAGCAACAGCAACAACAACAGACAACAACAACAATCAGCATAAATGGAAGAAATCTGAACGAAGCAACCTCCTTCACTGACCCACCCACCTACCTGGGAAGCATCGTTTCAACTACAGGCGGACAGAACTGATGAGAATATCAAAGCAGCGAGGAAGTCTGTGTGGAAATCAACAGCACTCAGCATGAAAAATAAGATCCAGATTTTCAACTCCAATGTGAAGTCAGTGCTACTTACTATATGGATCAGAGACTTGGCGCCGCGCCGCGTAACGAGTGGCACTTCGAACAAACTACACACCTTCATCAACAGCTGTCTTCGCTCAACACTTCGCTCAAGATCAGATGGCCAGCCAGAAAAGATCAGCAATAGCGATGGATCTCTGGGAGCGAACCAACCCAGCAGGAACCGATTGTGCAACAAATATGCAGGAAGGAATGTAGGTGGATTGGAGGCCATACTCTCAGAAAGCGAACCATCAAGTGAGTGACATCACACGCCGGGCTATGGCTCGAGTGGAACCTGAACGGGAAGCTGTGATTTGATCTTCAGTGCGAGGGTGACTTGGAGGAGGTCATGTGAAGAAGAGATGAAAGCATATGGGCAGACGTGGAGCCAGGCGATGAAAACATTGGCAGAGAACCGAACGCAATGGAGACTTGAGGCTGAATCCCTATGTTCCTCTAGGAACTAAAGGATAATAATAATAATAATATTTACACAGCCGAAAAGTGACTCTTCGTTGAACTACGTGTTTTGTTTTTTCATCAATGTCTGAATGGAGATTAGTCATGAACTTACCAAATCTTAATTATTTTTCATGTAATTATTCTTCCCCTCGTTTCATTGAAATTCTTTTTCTGTATCTTTATGTGTTCAAGTGTGACAATTTAAACTTCTACACACTTTTATAGTCAAAAATAGTACACAAAATCGATATGAACTTAGTGAAGGTTATTCTTCTCTATAGGTGACTATATTTGTACATACTGTGGATTAGTCATCATGCTTGTCTTAGTGACCTTTTGTCAATATGTTTATAAATTAAAACAATTAGTCCCTTTGATAAATTTGAATAAGGCATTTAGAAGACAAATTTCGCGAGATGATATCGTCATTTCGTAGTTTCTTTACAACCGCTTTACAACTAACATGGTTAACAATAATAAAATAAAGATCATGACAATTACTCAGTTAAATAAAAAACACAAAAGTACATACTGATGACCAATCATATTTTCAAATAGGTCAAGTAGTCAGTCCATGGTAGGCGAAGATTGAAGTCTATTGATTTTGGACACACAGTTTAGGCTGTATGTGATTAATCCCCCAAAGTGCTTCCATCACCTTCAATGACCAACCTTGAATTAGAGTTATGTGAAATAATTGTGAAACAGTCATTAATATTGATTTTGTGACCTGACATTAATAAGTGTTTTGCAATGGATGATGAAGGTGGATTTCTATTCAGATTAATCGCGTTGGGATATCAAGTCTACTAATGAAGAGTTGACGTAAGTTGGCAGGCAAATGCCAAACGAGCCTTCTGTATCCATGCTGAGATTTCGTCAGTGATCAACCCGCTTTTGGGGCTGATACAACTTCCCAAATAACTGAAGTGGTCAACACACTCATCCACTACTTCACTACTCCCTATCTTTAAGCTAGGAGTGATCCAATGTAGTTCAGTCTTACATTTGACAGCCCAAGCAGAATCGTATGCCAACCACCACTTGTATAATTGAAACGATGCTGCTTCGCCTGGTTTACTAATTTACCAGACAGTTCTAAGGCCTTAAAATCGGTAGATTGAGCATGGAGCTAACGACCTTACCCTGGAAAATCAAGTCAGTCATTAGTAGAGAAACTTCAACGCATAGTTTTAACTAATGGTAACACTTAAATATATACATATATTTCAGCGTAGGGAAATTTTCTTTTCTTTTTTATCACCGACATAATCATTTTCAAAGGCTGTAGCATAGAGGAGAATCGTATTAATGTATATTCACTTAAAGTGTGATTTCTAATGATAACGGCAACAAAAAAAATCACGCAATAATGAGAAGTCATTACTTTCATTGTATGTATCCTTGTTAGCTTCTAAGTAATTTTCTCCCTAACATTAGAAACACGCTATTGGGTAAGTGAATGAATTATGTTACCTACCACCCCCCCCTTTGAAGAAGAAATTTCTCTTCTCTCCGATCCGATGTCATTTGTAATTGGAAATCTTTAGAGTTTGCGTTTTTTTTGACAGAGATTTTTGTTTTCTCTGGTTTAACTTTTTTTTAATATTTTTAATTATTATGATTAATGTGTATTATCTATCTGCTAATCTGCCTTAATGCTGCTGATGTTTTTTTTTTGCATATAAAGATGAGATTTTATAGCTCTAATGAATGAAGAAATAAATAAATAAATCTTGACTGTCTAATATCATTAAGAAAATAACACTCAGTGTATATTTTCTATGCACAGTGTTAAGGTTTATTATTTCAAGTAGAATAATGAAAGTGAGAGTAAAGCTGTGGTGTGTGCTACTGATAAGATTTATCAGTAGTATATAGACAGACGTTCATCCAATGTCGGGAGAGTCAACGACATATTAGATTCGTCAGCTTCACCTCCAACACTGGTGGGTCTCCATCCGGTCCCAGCTTCGCGACACGGAACTGCTGCCTCGCCAGCTAGTCTGTCCGTCGGGTTGTCGAACTCTGCTACCTTCCAAGTCTCCATCTCACTTGACCACTCCACACTGTCGTACACCGCCTTTTCTCAACCTCTCAGCAGTGTCCCCAGCACGACCGCTTTCACTGTCGGATCACTGACGCCCACCAACTCAGTGACGGCCTCATTCAGGGTCGCGCAAGAAACTCTGAATGTCTCCTTCTTCGAAAGCAGCCAGCTATGGACACCAAATGAAACTGTAGAAGACGAAAGACTTGGTGAAGGAATGTTTATGTGAGATTTGGTATCTCTATATAGCCAAATTATGTACACCTCATCTTCTTCAGCGCACCATTTGCACAGATTTTTCGTGTTGTGCTACTTCTGCCCTCCCTTCATATTGTGTGTGTGTTTCTTTGTGTTCCTTTCACGTCTCTCATGTATCTCCGCGACGCTGTATCATTTGCTTTCTCTGACATCAAATGTTATCTCCTTGCTATTTGATGTTTTTATGCCGGCCGATGAACGTCTGTTTATATACTACTGATAAATCTTATCAGTAGCACACACCACTAAACAATTTATGTCTCTGAAATCAGTCTGGAAATCTTCTGCAGCCCACATAATGTTAAGTCAGTCAGTTCTTCTGTATGGGTCAGAAACTTGGTGAATCATGTGAAAAGCATTTTGAAGAGACTGTAGACTTTCAATCGACAGCTGCCCCCCTTCCCTTCCTAGTGAAGATCAGTTGGTCTGAAAGGATAGGCAGCAAGGAACTCTGACAGGCAACGAACCAACCAGGAATCTGTTGCCTTATAAATATGCAGAAGAAAAGTGAGATGAATCGGACACATGCTCAGAGGAGGCACGTGAGTGACATCGCGCGCCAGGTTGGCCCTCTAATGGAACTTGAATGCGAAACGACGAGTTGGGTGCGGATCTGAGGATGATATAGAAGAGATCATGTGAGGAGGAGATGACAGCCTACAGGTAATCATAGCACCAGGTAAAGAGGACTGTAAAGGACAGGATGAGGTCGAGATGGGCTGTTGAAGCCCTATATTCTACTAGGAATTCAAGGGAATAATAATAATAACCAAATGTGTCCCTCTGGACTACTCTTTAGAGAAATTAAATCACAGCGTTGGATATCATCCAGCGGCTAATAACATCATTGTTGTGATATGACATAAAGAATTAAAAAAACACGACCGTAGATGCTTTAGTTCTAAATATATTTTTCTTATTTAGCTGTGGAATGTTAGGCAAGCAGCGGTTATGAAGTTGCATAAATGAAGTTGACTAGGAAATGAGTTGTGCATGCTGAGCCACTACCTTTCTCAACGACCAAAGTTAGCTGAAATGAATTACTAATGATCAGATCAAAACGTGAAGTCTTTTGGTGTGTAGACTGCCCAACTGGCTTTTCGAGATACTTATGGCAAAAAATAGTTTTTTTTTCACGGGATGAAATATACTCACTTGTTCTTGTTACCATCCAAAATTTTGAAAACCTATCTCTGTTCCCTCTTATACATTTTCATCTAATGTACTCTTATGTGTTCAATTTAGAAGTATGACAGTTTGAATTGCTGCGGTTTTTTGTAACTTATTAGTCTAGTCGGTCGAATTTCCAACTATTGGGTCACAGGTTCGAATCTCACTTCAACCAAATGAGGTTTACGCAACCAAGTAGTATCACTAGCGCTAACCGTCATCATACCAAATAGGTGTGCCTCAACTGCATGGAATTACAAATAGCTGTTGACTGAATGTTTATTCTTCGTTTCATTTCAATGTTATCGAGATTTTTTCTATTTTTTTTTTTGTTAATTCTTTTTTTTAGAGGGTGAATTTGAAGTTTCCAAAGGCGGTAAACGTTTGTATGTTATGGGAGCTGGTCGGTGTTTTGGTGAATTGGCACTTTTATACAATTGTAAACGTACAGCATCTGTAAAAGGTATGTGAAACATTATTTAAGTAATAATAATAATAATAATAATGTTAGTGAACAATATTGGTGTTTCGTTTAAATACCATCGATTTGTTAAGATCACGATGGAATTACCACAGTTCAAGAAAGATGCATAAGTTATAATAAGCATAAAAATGTAATAGTAAATAGAATATCAAATAAAATTAAAGAAATCTCTACAACAAATTAAAGATCATTGAAACCCTGATGGCCAAAGGGGGGCTAAGGAAAGCGTCTGAACCAACCAACTTCTTCTTTTGGATACATAGATTAGGCTTCTTAATTAAAGTAGATTCCAACAGCCAGCCTCAGCAATATGTAATAAACGAACTCTTGAGGTAAAATTAAGATTAGTTGGTGGTATAAGGTAGATGACTTTGAAAGCTGCCTCGTTAACACCAATTTTGTGTTCTGTATCTATGAGATGAGACAGTATAGAACCATAAATGGTGTTCGTCGGAAATCCGACCATAAACACGCCTAATTGTACGGCCTATGCAACTAACTGGCTCACTCCACAGGAGCAGTCAAATTGTGATAGATACACATAGAAAGAAGAGGCGAAATTAGGCAGTTTATCTTTAACTACTCCCGAACAGAAAATAGGGGTGGGTGGTTTTGAAGACACAGCATACTTCAGTAGCACTGAATGCTCTTTTTACAGCCGTATTCCTCAGGCGTTGTGTTCCTATCTCACGGATGTTATTCATCACCGAGGAACTGAAGTTGTAAGAACAAGGCCTTCCTTCTTCGCAACTGTTGGTACTTTCTCTTGTATTGACATTTGACTCATGTTGTTATCAATGAATTTTTGTGAGTGACCGTTCTTACTCAGCAACTGTTCAATAATATTAAGCTCTTCATTAAGACTTTCATCAGAGGAGATTGCTCTTCGGCGGACCGAGCACTATATTATATTGCGTTTGTATTTCAAAGGCACGAAGCTGAATGGATGAGTATACTGACAGTCAGTTGATGTAGGTTTTCCAATATAAACATTTCTTCCTATTATTGTGCCGTCCTCTTTTCTAGTCATAAGGATGTCTAGGAATGAAATACTAGAGTCTCTTTTTTCCTTCCTCAATGTTAATATTTATTGCAGGACGAACATTGTTAAATTTGTCCAGGATGTTCTTTGCTTCATCCTCATTTTTCATAATCACAGTGTCTGTTATCCATATTTAACGTGTAAGGCACTACTTATGGTGCTACCCCCTAGTTGATGGTGTAATTGCCTGTCAATGGAGATAACTTTTAATTTTTTTTCTGTATATATCTAGACCTGTGTCTATTTATTTTGTATTTTATGCTTACTATTATTCCACAAAATGTTTTAATTTTTCTTCTTCCCCCGGAGTTCAAAAAGTTTGAATGAAATTTGCTCTGAACACTCAATTATTTCACAATATGTGATCTGTTCATTTGTTCATCATATCAGTAAATTTCAGACTAGTGGGGACGGACCAATGCAAGCAACTGGCACCAGCGCCAATATCATCTGTGACGAGCATTTGTCCTCACTCCCGACAGGATGGACCCCACTGATCACACAACTTCTCACTAGAACTCACTCCAGGCCACTCCATCCTGTCACTGCCAGTCACTAGTGCGAACATTGGATTGATATCATTTATGTTATATAGTCATTTTTTAACACCAATTGGTATATTTAATTGAATTTTAGATTTTCCCGTCCACTGACTGATTGGACCGAAGTGCTCGGTCTCACTCAGGTTGACATGTCGACGGCTTCTTGTGCAGATGCTTCGACGATGTGTTTGGGCATGTAATTAGAAGTTAATTGGTGGATGGCGACTAGCAGTAGTGGAATCCACGATAAAGCGCATTTCGTCCTATTTGGGACTCGTCAACTGGATGTGCCTGCATTCCGGTGGGAAGAAATTCGCATCCTGGATTCCACTGCTAATCACCATCCACCAATTAACCAATTGGTATATCTAATAATTATGACAAGAGGAATTAGTTATATATAATATATGTATATATGAATATATTAGAATAAATGACTACTAGCGATGATAACCTTTAAAGAGCTTAAAGAATGCGCACATGCAAAATTAAGGTAAATTAAGGTAAATAATAAGCAACCACAATGGATCAACTTTTATCGGGTGATATGTCAATTTTGTTACCTTATTACCTCGATCTAGATTGTAGACAACTATATACACAATAAACAATATAGATGAATGGATGGTGGTATATTTTATATATGCGCACATTATAAATGATTAATTTGTTTTCTGAAGGTTATTCCTGTCTTGTTAAATTAAATTGCGGTTTGATAGGATATACATAAATGCGTCCCTCCATTCATCCTCCTCCATCCATCCATCCATTCGTCCATCCGTCTATCCATGTGTGTGTGTTTGTGCGTGCCTGTGTGAGCCATCTAATTACCGTACAAATTGCAACTAAACAATAATTTGAGGGTATTCATCAATTTCCAACCTTGCAGTGTAATGATAAATGGACACTAACACATGCATGATATGACATTTATCAGTGGGTTGCCACAATTGTGTCTACTGAATTACATCGTATAGTATGTATGTATGTATTATTCCTTTGGAACATAGGGCTTCAACAGCACATCTCCATCTCATGCTGTTGTCTGAGGTCCTCTTTAGCTGGCCCCACGATTCCCGATAATCTCTCATCTCCTCTTCACATGGTCTTCTCCATGTCACCTAAGGATCCACACTTATTCGTGTTCCACTTGATGAGGAGGGCCAACTTGACACGTGATGTCACTACTCAGTGATCTTTTCTAGTGTGTCCCCTATCTACCTCCATTTTCTTTGGCATATTCTCTTTTTATTGGGTAATGGGGTCTTGGAAACGCTTTCCGTGACCTCATGAGTTGGATACCACGTTCTGGTTTGACCACTCCTAACTCTTTTATAACACACACAACCGCATGTAAGCTAACAGTGCTCATCGAGGAAGGCGGTGGTTCGTCACGGTTCGTCCTAATCATCTCAATCGATGTAGTTTCACAACCTCATTGATTGACTTCCCTTTCTTACCTAACACTCCACGCCTTACCTCAGTATTCCTCACCAGATTATACCAATGAACATGGGAGATAGAACGCAAACATTTGTGGACAGCTTGTTATTATTATTATTCCCTTGGGTTCCTAGTGGAACATACGGCTGAACATACTTTTTACAAGGATTTCAAGTTATAGATAGAAAGTATAAGCAACATAATTTCAAAGATGATGTAAGCAGACAATTAATTGGTGAATGGTGACTAGCAGTAGTGGAATCCAGGATAAAGCGCATTTCGTCCTATTTGGGACTCGTCATCTGGATGTACCTGCATTCCACAGTGATTGAGTGATGATGTTCCCACCACCAAGGCTCGAACCCAGTAATCTAGTGGATAACGCTTTGGCGTTTGAAACTATGGATATTAGGTTCGGGCCTCAGTGGGGGAAAACCATCACTCACTGACTGGGGGGGGGGAATGAAGGCACATCCAGTGGCTGACGAGTCCCAAATAGGACGAAATGCGCTTTATCCTGGATTCCACTACTGCTAGTCACCATCCACCAGTTAACTTCTAATTACATGTCCAGACATCGTCGAAGCATCTGCACAAGAAGCCGCCGACATGTCAACCTGAGTGAGACCGAGCACTTCGGTCCAATCAATCAATGGACGGGCAAATCTAAAATTGAATTAAATAAGTAGACAATTATTTAGTGTTAAAAGAGAATAACTATTTGTATAGTAATCAGACAAGGGGATAGGTAGAGTTCAGATTTCTCTTGGAAACAAGGATGGACTAGAGACAAATAACAAAATAGAACAACAGAGTGAATTTATACATATTATGATGGATAGTTCAGGAGGGTGGGGCTGAATAGTAAAGTCAAATTATAAGATAGATAAAATAATTTAATTTAGTAGATTTGGAAACTTAATAGTGAGTTCAACTCAGTTAGTAAGTGAAAATCAAAATCAAAATTGAATGGAATATTATGCAACAGAAAAAAACAAAAGCAATTATGGTTACTATGTTGGATAGTGAGAGGTTAGTCACACTATCTTTGTTGTGTATACAGAGGTTGAGTCGAAATCCTTTTATACGCAATGGCTTCTATGAACTGAAGTAACCGTGGTTTTCTTTGTGTATTGATTGATTATTTTGATTGAAAGCCTGACTAATTTCCACTGTCAGTTAAGGTATCTAGCGATTGTGCTCGAGAACACTTTGCTGCCTTGAAAACGGAGACTTTTAGGGATATACTCGGAGAATCTAGTAGACACTTTCCTCCTCTCAGTCCCTCCTTCCTATGTACTTGTTACGGCGAGTACAGGTGAATTGGTGAATGCTATTGGATTTCTCTAAAATATCTTAATCACCTACGTGTGTCATCACCAGTTCCCTGCTTTAGGTGGTGATGAACTCAGCTGAGTGAATTCCCTCCAAAAACATGCAATTTTAAACAGACGAAACATCATTCCAAAGTGATGATTATTCAGTTAAAAGGTTAACACATTTTAATTGATCGATTTTTGGGCATTCTTTATAGAATATTAAATACCAGTCATTGTGGGACAGAAAACCATAAATTAAAAAAAAATATATTACTAAATCCGGGTTTTTTTATTGACCATGTGAATTATATATTATTCATTTGAACGACACTTTAGATTTATATATTTTATTACTTTTTGATCGATTAGGCCCACATATCTTAACTCTAAATTAGGGAGTGTCAGTAAATCATTTGAAATATCATTTATGACTGACTGACTGCTTTCAATATAGAACTTTGCACAGATGTGCAGCAGTTCCACCTAGTTGCCACTCTCCCTCCATGTAGCACACACAAAGCAAGAGAAGAGAGTAAAGAGAGATTCAAAACAGAGAGAGAGAGAGATAATAAAGAGAAATATGAGGCAACAAGAATAGTAATATGGAAGAACAATGGAGTTTTACTGGATACG